TGTTTTATACCAGGGAACATCTCCCTCTGCACTGAGCCTCCCTGGGTCCAAACTTCTTATCCCAACACTACACGGCATGCACCATTTGGTACGGGCCAGGCCCTGGGCTGGGAGTGGGACTTCAGAGTGCAGGGAAACCCCTCTGTACCTTCAAAAGGACCACCATCTAGCCAGTCAAAATGGTGCATGTCTGCAATCCCAGCGGCTCTGGAGGCTGAGGCAGGAGGATTTCGAGTTCAAAGCCAGGCTCAGCAATGGCGGGGTGCTAAGCAATTCAGTGAGACCCTGTCTCTAAAAAATAAAATATAAAATAGAGCAAGGGATGTGGCTCAGTGGCCAAGTGCCCCTGGGTTCAATCCCTGGTACAAAAAAAGCACTGAACCCATCTTCGGTCCAGAAGAACAGAGCCGTTAGAACTCAAGACACACCTGGCTTTGAATCTCAGGATGTGTGGAACGAAACCGAACCACAGAAGCTTAACTAAATAGCGGGTGATTTTTCAAATTGTTTAGAAGGCCAAGGTAGGAATCCTGGGCTGCTGCAGTGATTCCATGGTGCATGGAGGGCACAAGCTTCAACTACATTCCACTCTGCCATCCTTAGCATAGGGCATATTTTTCTCCTCTGTACCAGTTTTCTCATGGAAAAAAATGGGAATAACAGGGCTGGGGCTGGGGCTCAGTGGTAGAGCACTTGCCAAGCATGTGTACTATACTGGATTCAACCCTCAGCACCACATATAAATAAATGAATAAAGTAAAAGTCCATCAATATCTAAAAATATATTTTTTGAAATGGGAATAACAGTAACTTCTTTATAGGGCTGCTGCAAATTTAAATGAGATATTTGCAAAGAACTTAGAAGAGTATCTGGTACATGGTAAGTGCTTTAAAAATGTTAGCCATGATGATAATGATGATGATGATGATGATTGTGATGATGATGATGATGATGATGATAGTGGTGGTAATGGTGATGGTGATAATAGTGGTGATGCTGTACTCAGGCTGAAAAAATGGCTTCTGCTCCTCTAGGTATCACATCTTTATCCCTGGCAAGAATGGAGGAATGGCAAAACAAAAAGTGAGTGTGAGCTGAATCCATCTCTCTCTTTTTTTTTTTTTCCGTAAAAAACAATTTTTTTCCTGAAATTTATATAACATTAAAATTAAATGTTTTAAAGTAAGCGATTTGGTGGCATTTAATACATACACTGCATTGAACTACCACCAGCTCTGGTTCCAAAACCTTTTTGTCACCTCAAAAGGAAGCCTGGTCCTTCTAAGCAGTTGTTCCCTGTTTCCCCCTACCCCCAATCTCTGTAGTTTTATCTATTCTGAATATTCCATCTGTTTTTAAAGAGCTTTGCAGGAAGCCCTGCCCAGTCTCTTTCGCTCACATCTCATTGTCCAGGAATGTGTCTGATTCTTGGCTGGGCACATTGCTGCCCTAAATAAAATCAACATCTGTCACTCCATATTCTAATACTTAGAGCACCTACAACCATATTTTATCAATTGGAAGACACACAAGTTCTTTTCCACATTTTAACTTTTACAGAATAAGAATCTTCTTAAATTGATAACATCTCATATTTAATTAAATACAGTACTTTCAGGCACTGTTTGGGGTGCCTGATTGAAATGGGCAAAGTTCCCTGCTTTTATGGAGTTGATGCTTTATTGGTGGGAAGACAAGTAATTAAACATAGTAAATAAGCAAATTAATTATTGTGTTAGAAGATCATAAATGCTTAGAGAAAAAAAAAAAACTTCAAGAAGAGCAAGGTAAGTCTCATTCCAGGGATTGAACAGGAACAGATTGCTATGTTAATGTATTCATTATAGATAACTACTGCTGTGTAACAAGTTACCCCAATACTTCATAGATTAAAACTCAAACTCTTATTCTCTTTGATTCTGTGGGTCAGGAATCCAAGCAGCTTAGCTAAGTCATTCTGGGATCTCTCATGAGGTTGCAAATAGGAGGTTGGCTGGTACTGTGGTCATCTGGAAATGTGATGGGAGCTGGAGGATTCACTTCTAAGATGGCTCACAGATATAGCTGTGGGCAAAAGGCAGTAATTACTCACCGGATGTTGGTAAGAAGCCTCAATTCCTTGCCATACGGGCCTCTCCATGACTACTTGAGTGTCGTCACAACATGTCAGCTAAAGTCCCCCAGAGGTAATGATTCAAGAGAGAGAGAGAGCAAGGAGGAACCCACACTATTTTTTATGAACTAGACTTGTAACTGTCCCCATCACTTCTGCTATTTTCTATTTGTTACAAGTGAGTCATGATATCTACTCCACATTCAGGGAGAGGGGAATTAATGGAGGAGTATCAAAGAACTTGTGGACATATTTGGAAACCACTGCAATTAAGTAGGGTGACCAGGATAAAAGAAAAGTAATATTTGATGGAAGACTTGAAGGAGATGAGGAAATTGTCCAGGCAGACAAGGGGGAGAAGGGGAAAGCATTCCAAGCAGAGGAAGCAATGAGAGCTGTGGGCCAGGAGCTAACAGGGTATGCTGGTAACAAAGGGAAGGAGAGCTGTCCCTGGAGGCAACTAGTGGGGCTGCCACACTTCTCTCTTCCGTCACTAGCTAGCCGTGTGACTTTGGGCAGATGACCTCTCATTCTGAGTTCCAGTTGCCTCCTTGTAAAATGGGAGTGATAGTTCAGGTTGAGTAGCCCTTACCCAAAATTCTTAGGACCATAAATTCTCTAGATTCCAGAGGTTTTTATGTTTGGGAATATTTGTATAGACTTTCTAGTTGAGCATCCCTAATTTGAAAATCTGAAATGCTCTGAAATCCAAAGTTTTTGCATCATACCAAACATGTTTGATGGCTCCTATCTTTAGACACCACATGGCTAAGGCCCCCTTCTCTTTCAATCACTGCTCAGACCTCACAGTCTCTACAAGGCTTACCTTGGTCACCCAATGCAAATCTACAACCTGCTACTGCACTGTACCCCAATCTTCTCCCTACTCAACCCCTCTGCCACATTGCAATATCACTTTCTAACATGTGGATTATTATTTTACTTAGTTTGTTGTTTACTGTAGGTCCACAAGTGCTTGACTGGGATTCTTAACCCATATTCTATAAACTCCTGAGAAGTCCACGGATCATCCTCCACCAGATCAGTTAGCCCACTGGATGCATACACAATAGTTTGTCCCCATGATATCGGAAGCTTTCATTAAATTTTCAAGAGAGTTGCAAGACCCCAAGAGCTTAAAAATCACAAGTAGATCACCACCTGGCATAGAGTAGGTGTTGGATAAATAACTATTGGCCAAATTAATGAACTTAAAAACACTATTCACACACATATTTTAAAAATCAAAAACTGGGTTGTGGTGCAACAACTTCAAAATGCTGGTGTCCTTGAATCAACTGTGTCAGAATGGTAGAAAAAATTTTTATAAACACAGATTTCTATATTCAAAAATACCCTCAGAGAGTATGAGTTGGGGGTAAGGGTGAGGCCAGATATTCTGTCTTTTTCAAAGCTCTCCCACACATACACTTACATACCTCCAGGTGAATCTGGATTTAGGCATTTGTGTGTAGTCTTCCCTTCATCGAAGAGAAAGACTTGGGAATTCAGCATGCAGATTTTACACTTTGTAAAAATGCTGATCACACCTGTGGTCATTTGTGATCTTCCCACAAACTCTCAGGCATGGATCACCATCTCCCTTTCACTGAACTGAAAGCTGAGGCCCTGGGGAATCAAATGATACCCTCCCACCCCCAGACAACAACCAAGGGTCACATGCCTGCAGGTGGCAGGGCCATGATTAGAACTTGGCCTTCTGAACTCTCACTCTAGGCTTCTCCACTCTACACCAATTAGATAAACCCAAGTTCCAGGAAGTCCCAAGGCAGCGACTGGGGGAGGGGAGTCAGAGGAGGGAGGAAAAGAGTGGCAAACACGTGGGGGTCAAGGTTCTGGGAGGCTGCCTCCTGGACATGGGAAAGATTCCAGTTGCTCTAAGAGCTCAGAGAACACAGAGCATTCACATGCCAATTCATTGCTTAATCTCACTGGACAGCCATTTTCTCTTTGTGTGCCTCAGTCTCTTTGTCTGCAAAACGGGGTGTTATTATCCAGGGAAGGTGTGAAATCCCCCAGAGGGAAGTCCTTAGGAACTGAGCTAAATCCAGCCTTTCATTCATTGAAGGAACGCTTCTGCATATCTGTGTGCCAGTCACAGTGGTGGGCACTCTACAAGCCTGCCCTCATTTAACCCTTGCCATACTGCAGTAGGAGCTGTGCTGCTGTTGTCAGCGTCTTACAGATGAAGAAACTGAAGCTCAGGTGTATGAATTGCAATTCATTCCGTCATTTATTCATTCACTTGACTTTTACCCAAAGCCAGCTCTGGGCTGGGCTCTGGGCCAAGCGCTGAGGATAAGAAGATGAACAAGTCCTTCAGGAGACGTGCCCATAAATTACTCTAATAACAACTCAGTACATGCTTCAACAGACAAGGTGCAGTGGGAGCCAGAAAAGACGCAATTGGCTCCCTGAGGTTATGGGGATGGATGGGTGGGAACGCGGGAGACCTTGCACTGTTGAGGTGCCTATGCCCTGTGCAAATGATGCAGTCACCGGCATGGGTTCGAGTCCCTCTCCCTTTGATCTGTATTCCCAGGAAACCTCCTCTTCCTCTGAGCCTTGGCCTCCATCTGGAAAATTAAAGAGGTTGGTGGGACTGAGATTCTGCAGCTCTAGAGCGCCTAAACCTCTGACCTTTCCACTTCACCGTCTGCTAAATTCAAGCTCGGCTCCAATCTAGTCTGGAGTGAGCCCCCAAAAGCCAGATCAAGCCCCTCTGGAAAGTGCCAAACACCTCTCCCGCCCTCAGCGGTCAGAGCCTGGGGTGGGGCCTGGGACTCAAAGGACAGAGCTCCATCAGGGGGTGGGGCTGAGTCCTAGATCTAGGCGCGCGTGGCACGCCCAGAAGCGTTTCATCCAGCCAATGATAGCCCTGGGGCGGGGAATCCCCGCCTCTGGGTATAAGTGGTCGCGGGCCCCCTGGATCCACGCGCAAGTCTTGGAGCCGGACCGAGTAGGTGATTGCTTCTGTTGCTGCCCAGAGCCTGGGCCGTGGGGTGCGCAGGAGCGTGGAACTCTCCGTGCGCTCTGGGTTAGGCAGGAGAACCGGTCGGATTCAGTTTTCCTTTACCTGACTGAGCTGCAGGTACGGCACGGTGCCTAGGTCTCCTGCCTCGGAGGAGCAACTGGCCGGGTCCTGGGGGGGCGCCCGCGCTGATCATCCGCCCGCTGCCCCCACAGGCAGCCAGACTCTGCCATGGCTGACCACCTGATGCTCGCCGAGGGCTACCGCCTAGTGCAGAGGCCGCCGCCGGCCGCTACCAACCACGGCCCTCACGGGATTCGGACTCTGCAACCGTACGCGGGCCCGGGTATGGACAGCGGGCTGCGGCCGCGGGGAGCTTCGTTGGGACCGCCCCCGCCCCCACCCGGGGCCGTGTCCTACGGGGCC